TAAGAAAACATTGCAGCTACTTTGCTGGTTTTGCCAGTAAAGCGATCGCTTTCACTTTATCAGAAATCTTCCTTTTACAACAGGTTAATCAGCAATTACCTTTTATGTACACTTTCTTTTTCTTTTTTTAATTTATGTTTTATTAGTTTTCTTATTTATACAACATGTACAACAAATTCAACTTAATCACCGTGGGGGGAAAAGCAAGGCAAAACAAAACAACAACAAAAGAGACAAACGGACCGAAACAAAACCAAACACAAAAACAAACGAAACAAACCAAGAAATAAAATGACATTATACAAAATCGGGCCTCCCATTTTGTACTTATTTCAACCATTTCAACCAATATTCTTCAAATGAGTCCGCCTGGCACTTTAGCCTAAAAGTTATTCTTTCCATAACAAAAATAGTATATATCACATCAATCCATTCATCTATAGTAGGAGTATCCTCTTTAAGCCAAAGGCGAGTTATGGCCTTTTTGGAAGCTACCGACAGCACACTGAACAAATATTTATCCAGTTTGCATAGATTAAGACTCTCTAGGTTGCCTAGGTACAATAATGCAAAATGAAATTGTATTTTCTTTTGGAAGATTGTTTCCATGACCTTATGTATTTCCTTCCAAAATGGAACCACACGGGGACATTCCCAAAAAATGTGGAAATGATTTGCTGTTGCATGTCCACAATGCCTTCAGCATGTTGTATTCTGAGAATAATTGGATTTTTGAGCTGAGGTAATAAAATAACGAATTACATTCTTCCAACTGAATTCCCTCCACGAGGGAGAGCTTGTTACTGGCCACTGCTGCCTACAGATCCCATCCCATTCCTCTCCTGTTAGGGATAGATTGCTCTCTGTTTCCCATCTTGCTTTAACATATCTTGTATCATCATCCCGTAGATTGATCAGTGAACAATATAATTTGGAAATAATTTTTTGATAGGGTGCATCTCTATATGCATTCTCGAATATATATATAATCTCTTCCTTCCCAGTCGATAACTGAGGATCTTTTAACTTTTTATTCAGGAAGTCCCTCAGTTGCAAGTATCTAAAAAAATCTTGATTTTGCAACCCAAACTTTTTCTTAAGGTCCTGGAAACTCATCACTTTTCCATTTTTCAACAAGGTACTGTATGTGGTGAAACCTTTATTTGCCCATGTTTTGAATGTCGAGTCGCTCTTACTAGGCAAAAATTCTGGGTCATATGCAAACCACTTAAGGAATCCGGCCCTCTGGTTTAATTGATACTTTTTAAGTACTCTTTCCCATATCTTTAATGAACTTACTATCCAAGGGTTGCCCTTGCCCTATATCCCTGTATCCATTGATAAGTTTATGCCCAGATATTTGATAGTTCTTTTGACCCAGCTTAGTTTGCATTTGCTGTGCAGATTTTTTTTTTGGGGGGGGGGCTATAAAAGCTACTAAGAACTTGGGTTTTTTGTATATTCAATTTATATCCCGACTCGAGTATAGCCCATACTCCTTTAACACTGACATGAGCTCCATAAGTGATTCAGTAGGTTTTGATAAGTAAACCAAAACATCATCTGCGAACAAGGCGAATTTCTGCCCACTTCCAGCAATATTAATCCCTTTTATTTTCCATTCTGCCTAATCCTTTTAGCCAATGGCTCTATAAAAATAGCAAATAAGAGTGGACTCAGTGGGCATCCTTGTCTTGTGGACCTTTCAAGCTTGAAAGCATCTGAAAGTTCACCGTTAATCTTTATTTTTACAGTTGGGCTATTATACAAAGCCCTCAATATTGTAATGATGGACCCATTAAACCCAAATTTAAGCATTACTTGGAATAAAAATTCCCATCTCACAGAGTCAAAAGCTTTTTCAGCATCTAGACTCAATAATATAGCTGGTATTTTATTTAAATTAATATGTCTAATAATTTGCAGAGTTCTCTTAACACTATCGTGGGTTTGGTGCGACCTAACAAATCCAGTTTGGTCTAGACCCTTCAAGTCTCCGTGCTATGATTGACGTAAACAATTTGTAATCTACATTTAATACACTTATTGGCCTGTAGTTGGAACATTCTAGTTTCGTAAGTAGCCAATTAAATGTTTTAAGTAAGGTTCCCCTAATTTCTTATACCACTCCGCAGTAAAACCATCTGTACCTGGAGATTTGTTTGCCTTAAGTTTTCCAATCGCCAAGTGAAGTTCTTCCCTTGTAATTTGCTTCACTAATGATTTGTTTTCTTCTACTGTAAGTTTAGGGAGGTGTAACATGTCAAGCAAACTCTCCATTTGATCATCGTTGTTTGTGGGTGGTTGTGAATATAATTTTTCATAGTATCTCTTAAAGCAATCCTAAATTTCCTCTATACCCTGCATTTCCATTTTGGTTTCCGGGTCCCTTATCCTGTACATTGTTCTGTCTGCTTGTTGTTTCCTAAATCTATATGCCAATTGTTTCATATATTTAGCTCCCCCCTCATAATATCTTTGTTTGGTCAACATTAATTTCGTTTGGATGTCATGAGTGTATATCTCATTAATTAAATTTCTCTTCTTTGCCATTTCTAATTTTGTCTTAGTATCAATAGTATTTTTATGTGTGGCCTCTAATTACAATAGTTCCAACTGCAACTTCTGGAATCTTGCAACTTTGGATTTTTTTATATTGGAGGTTATAGCAATAACTTTTCCTCTCATCACTGCTTTGCACGCATCCCACAAAATTGGTGGGGGTAACTCATCTTTATCATTGAATTCCAGGTATTCAGCAATGTCTTTTGTCAACTGTTCACATGTCCGTTCGTTCAGTATACTAGAATTTAATTTCCAGTTGGTTATTTTTCTCCTTTGAGTAGAGTTTAAAGATAAATATTGAGGGCAATGATTGAAAGGTCCATTGGCCCAATATGGCACTCATGTATTTTGTTCATATCAGTACCAAAAGTGAGGACGTAGTCTATTCTCAAATAAGTTGCATGTGGAGATGAATAGTAAGTATAGTTCCTTGCCGTTGGATTAAGACGCCTCCAAGTATCCACCAATCCCATCTCCTCTATCAGAAGGTTCAGTTTTCTAGTTAGTTTTTGTGATTGAGATATTCTCTTCCCCGATGCGTCCAGATGTGGTTTTAATGTAATATTAAGGTCTCCTCCGCAGACAAGTAATCCCTGTGCCTCTGTCACTACTTTCTCGAGTACTTGCATATAGAAATCAAATGTGGAACCTGGAGGAATATAAACATTATAGAACGTGATCAATTCCCCATCCAATTTGCCCTGTACCAGGATAAATCTGCCTTCTCTATCCCTAATTGTAGCAAAGTGTT